AAGAATCTTTTGAACGGTATAAAAAGACCCGCAAGCTGCAGTGGATGACATCCCTCGGAAAAGTTCACCTCGAACTGGAGTTACAGGATAGAACACTTGAATTTGACGTCGCGCCTGTATATGCGACGATTATATATAACTTCCAAGAACAAGGTTGAGTAAAAGGTCTATTTGATATAAAAAGTATGATTTGGGCTGACTCCAAACATTTCTTTCATCCTGATATTAGATAATTGGACTCTGAAAGCATTATCGAAAAAAATGAATCTAGATCCGCAGAAGCTGAGACGGTTAATGAATTTTTGGATAGATCGTGGCGTGTTAAAGGAAATACAGAAAGATACTTGGATAGTTCTGGAAACCGCAGAGTCAGCTATAATAGATGGTATGTCCCCCCGTCTTTGATCCAGATCATTTATCATTCTATAACTGCAAAGATATACAATTTTATTGACAAATCACAACAGATTTTATCCCGCCCGAAGACCACAATCAATTCTCAATACAAACAGTAGAAGATCCAAAAGTAGAGGCATTGCGAGTATATTGGTCATACATCCAAGGAATGCTAATAAATCTCGGTGAAATGACTCTCGAGAGAATGCATACTATGCTGAATACATTTGTCCAAGCACCAAACAAGTTTGAACATTCGCCTGAAGAATTGAGAGAATTCTTGATGTTAATGGTTAAAGAAGAAAAAGTAGAGTTTAGGGCTGGTATATTCAAGTTGAAGAGATGAGCAGAAGTATGAAGTTGTTTCTGTATTGGTGATATGATAAAAATTGCAATTTTATTCTAAACATCATTGAAACATACAGCAATTAATATTACGCGTCAACTTTTTTAGAACGTAACTGGGTTTTAAGCGATTGTTTACTGACCAACCTCCGGACTGTAATTCGATAATATTTTGTTCACATTCATATAAGAATTAAGCTCGATAAACCAATACAATAGTAGATCTGAAGGAAACAAAATATATATCTCTATACATTAATTATGTATTATGTAGATATTGGTGTAACTTTCCTGTAAATCGCTTTCGCTATTTACCGAACATTCTTTAAAACATGGAAATGTAACTTGATATACGAAACGTTTCCACCAGAAGCGGATCTCGTCCGTTCATAGCCCGGTATTCTATCAAAGATTTCGAGAGTCATTTCGGTTAGCATTGCCTACGTATAATCAGATTTTCACAGGTGCCTTTGAAACGCGTTCAAATTAACTGTGAATGTATCATGTGACTCATTCACAAAACATATCAAACAACGCTCTCTTTCCTTACAAATGACACAAAGAAAAAATAGAGGAGAAACAAACCCACCCTCACAAGGAAACGAGGTACGACGTTCCCAAAGATTAAGAACAGTTGAACAACGACCGAACCGCAAAAAACTTCAGAAAAGATCAATCGGCCAGACTACAAGCAAACGGTATTTTATGATATAAAGTGGACCTAAAAAATAATGATGATGATTCCACTGGTAATAACCACCAAAGTGTAATTTTATACTAATGATTTTACATTGATGTCCTACCACAGAGAAACCTCTCTAAACGCACCCTCCTCGGGACCATAGTGAAAAATGGCAAAGTGTACATTTATAGAGGGCAAAATATATAGACTTCTTATAAGCTGGGACCGTGCAAGTCCGTGCATTTATAGAGTGTGCATTTAGAGACGTTTCTCTGTAACCACATAATATTATAATAACTCACGTACAATAATTTTTTTTGTAAATTTTCGTTTTTGATAATGTCAGGGTCAGCAAGAGCCAAGTTGTATGAATTGAAATGTAAGAACGTAAATTATGTAGAAAAAGATATAATAAAAAAACGGGCAAACAAAATGCTAACGAATTTATTTTAATAGTACAGTTTATTAGGGATTGGTTGTGGGCAAACGGGGAACTAATCCAGACACTTACCACGGGATCTTAAATTTTTTTAGAACGAGCTTATTCTGGAGGATTCGTGGATGTCTGCGGCGATAAATTATTAGCCATAAATGCGGCAGAACCCGAATTAAACTACATTCAAAAATTAGAAGACGTTCCTCACGAAGAAAAATTAAAGAAAAGAATTAACTGAACATTTAATGAATTTAAATAAATAATTATGAGTGGGAAAAAATAACTCTTTGGTCAAATGCAGTGCTCTTGCGTAAATGTACTTCATGTATAAAAACGCAATACCGCTTCAGGTTTTTTGAATGGCGTTACGAAATCCATATCACATGGTTTAACCCGATCAGTAGTATCCATGCCCCTGTCTCGAGTATCCTCGTATATCACCTGAAGCATATACTGGATCTTCCATAGATAATGGCGCGGTAAAGTCATATTATTAATAAATGAACGTGTAGGCACTTATTTAATAGTTTCAGCAGCATCAGGACACATATCTGGGGCATTGGCTATCTTTAACAACTCTGGAATCCATGCATTCACTTTAGCATTAACAGTTTTCTGGTATTGTATTATTATGTTGCGGTCGGCAGTCTGGGTTGTGGGAGAGATGATCTTTCGCGTAGGTGTGTTCGTCGACAAGGGGATATTTTAATTTAGTTCAGCCCTTATTTCGGTGTCGACTAGTCGGGCAAACGTCACTTGCCTATTTTTAAAACTAATTAAACAATAGTCGTTTACAACATTGATTATAGACCCTCGTTCCGTTACTCGCGTAATTGATTAACGGATATTTTACAGCTTAAATGAATATCGCTACAGCCGTTTATGCCGAGACCTTACAGCTTTTGTGTGAGCCATTTCTATAGATATATCCTGCTATTAATATTTTAACGATAAAAGAATGAATGAAAGAAAGTAATTCAATTTCAGAGTCATTTATTTTTAATAATTATTGAATTACGGATCTATCCAATATTTCAACAATAAAATAGTCAAATATGTCAAACATTTCAAACATTCCAAACATGCTATTTGATGATGGGATTCCGGCTTTTTATAATATTTAACATGACGGAACTATGTCACGAAAATTTAATGGAATAATCGTATAATTTTTAATACTTTAAGTTAATTATGCTGTGACTGAAAATTGTCACGAAACGATAATTATGTGCCTGCGACGGAACATGCTCACGCCGATTAGTGTTAGCTATCCTAAAATTAATGTTGATGTTGTAATTGTACATAACCTGTAACTGCGCTTCGCATAATTTTATTCCATATACAATAAGCAATATTAATCTTTCCGGGAATTTCGGCCATATATCTCCACCAATTTAAGGCCGATTTAAACAATGTAAGGGACTTTATATTCGCTTGCTTTAATCCTATTACTTAAATTCTTTCAACGTTCCCAAAATTTCTTTGAGAAACATTAATTAGAACGATAACTACTAGACTGAAGTTATGGACTGGCCTTCTAACAGTCCCGACCCAAATCCAATCGAAAATCTCTGGAGTATTGTTAAAAGAAAAAAAAAATTTCCCCATGTGGGTTTTTTGCAAAAAAAAAAAAGTCGTAAGATTCGCGATTAAAAAAATGTTTACGGCGTTTTATGATTGAAGAATGGGATGATATCCAGAATCGACCCTAATTGAGTTAGTACGATCGATGAAAGCTTGTCATAGTAATAGAACATAAGATTTTTTAATAAATCTGCTGCTTTTCAGCTTTCAAATGACATATAATTCATCTTATTTGCACCACTGGTTCTTGCGTAATGTATAATTTAGTAATTACAGAATTTTTGTCCCACACTATACATAGGAAAATTTACTTTACACGTATTAGTATCTGCTTTATATAATTTTTAGACCTCCTAGTATTAGGTTAAGTGACCTTACCTTCAACCGTTTAATGAACTGTGGCTAATGATGACTAATGATCTTATTGGCTATCAATGGCTATTGAAAAATTTAAATAAAC